TATTTTTTTTGTCTTGTCAAAAATGAGCCTATCCGGCTTTCGTACAGAACAGTATAAAAATAGTCCTTTTTTAATGATGATTATGGATGTTTACAACCTTCTTTTACAGTTATCTATCAAAGTAGTGCAGCTATCTTACATTTCCATGCATATTCAGACTAATTTTCCCTCTCAGAGTCAACAGGCATTTATATATAATATAGGTGACCGATTTGTTCTCTTTAATAATAATTTAACAAAATAAAATCGTCTCTTCAGACATGTAATCCATTTACTATGGAAGGTTGCATATTTAAAAAGACTTTTAACCTTTTATGGAATTTAATTAAAAGCTAAAAAATTTTATCGAACCTTCAGATGTCAGTTATAAGCATTCTCAGCAATGATATGTCTAAATGTGAAATGTAAATGTCAGTTAAGGTGATTGCACACCAGTAATTCATCATTAATGATACCATGTCGTCTTGTTTATACAGAAAGGTCAAACTATGTAAATCTGTATTGGGTGTGAGCTGTCGTAATCACATAATTATCCCTAAAGAAGATTATTACTTTTGATATCAAAACAATTTAATTTCTCACCGCACATATTAATCATGATTTTTAGGTATAATCAAATGAGTGCCATGCATGTGCAATAAAATATGGCAAAACAGGCTAACAAATCTTTTTTATGTAGGGAGAAAAAAAACTTAAAGGATGTCCATTGAAAGAATTCTGAATGGGACTTTCTAGTCCTATAAGTATATACACTATATGTCCGAGGGTTTTCAGAACCACATTAGTGTTAACGCTTGTTACGGGAATGCTGTAAATACAAATCTTCACGTTATAAGATTATGGTCAGAGTTGGTAGGTCAATTTTTCCAACATTTTAGAAATCAGACCCCAGGATAGACAAGTCAGAATTTGTAAGTTGTCCAAACGTTTATTAAAAAACACACAAAATTTGAAATTATTCAGAATTATTGCTCTGACATGTTGTTAACTCAAATTTTCAAGCATTTATGAAAATACATATATATATTAATGATGGACTGAAATTTTGACTTAAGTCTTTGATTGTTTCATGATCCTGGAACCAGGGTTTTTTTTTCCTGAAAAAGATATCTAGATCCGAACATTCATGGGAACACAGTCATTTCTGTGCATTTCAAACGTTAGGAAAATATATTTAATTCACTATTTAACGGAATTTAATTTGATAAAATATAAGCGTTTCTTAGATGGACGTTTTGAAAACTTATTCATACCAATGGAAACATGCAAATATCTCTCTCTCTCTCTCTCTCTCTGTACTTATTTAACTTTGGTTTAACATTATTTTGTGGGATTTGCTTGTTGAACAGTTTAGTTGTTATTTGGCCAATATCGTCTGTAGTTGGCCAATATCGTCTGTAGTTGATAACAAAATAATCACTGACAGAAAACAAATGAAAGAAATAAAAAAATATCTCTGAGCCGGGATGTGCGAGTACATATATTGGGGTGGGGTAGTCCTAACCGAAAGCACCTGTGCAACTAGGCAAAAAATAATTCATTAAGGATAGAACCGAAAGCACCTGTGCAACTCACAGGTGCTTGTGGACAGAACCCCCCCCCCCCCCCCATATACACCCAGGGTCCAAGGATATTTTTATTCGTCTTCTTTCACAAATTAATCTTCTATTACATATTTACAATGTATTTCATATGAACCCCCCCCCCCCAAAAAAAAAAAAAATAACGCAGAATTAACTTTTTATTAAAAAAGCATACCCGCAGTATAATACGGGTGTATATAAAAAGGGGGGGGGTGTTCCTGTCCACAAGCACCTGTGGTGCAACGAGGCAAAAAACTATTCATTAAAAATAGAACTCTCTACAACCAGATTAAAAAGATGTTAGAGAAACAAAGTCAAATGAGCCGCTGTCATGCTTTATTTTCTGGTATAGTCGCTATATATGTACATGTACTTATTTTGTATATATAGAGCACATATATCACAAACGACCTTTGTAGGTTAGAGGTCGAATATTCTAATGAAATGTCATTTACTTCATTTCTGAAACAGCGGTCATTATAGATTTAGATACATGTTTGAACTGCTTGGTATTACTAATGTATTGTGAAGATATGTTATATCTTCTCATATTTTGGAAGAAGTTTTTCAAATCACAGAGGATTTAGTCCAATCTTTACTGATGGAATGGTATTCTTTTAAATATATCTAAGAATCCCTATATGCTGAAGCATAATTAATTAATGTTGTATATTTAGGGGAATGTACAGCTTAATCAGAGATAAGAAAAAAAATATTTATCATTGTATGTTGAAGTGGCACAAAGTTGTAAAGTTCATCAAAGTAATATTTGTTGAGACTTAAAGTACATTTATTATTTACAATTCTAGTAAAAAAAATTGTTTTAAAATTGTAATATTTTATAATAATTTCACTGACATGAAAATGAATGTTAAGAACCTTTTTTTATTCATTTTTATTCTTAACTGTTTAGAAGCTCTTACTTAAGAATTATCATTCTATACTTTCTATAGTACTGATAAAATTGTTCGTCTGATAAAAAAGAACTTAACTTTTATTAAATTCCTCAATCAAAAATATATAAATAATAATTACATGTAAAAAAAAATATTAAAAAGTCGGTTCGTAAGAAAAGAAAGAAAAATTCACCAATGCAAATAAATAATATTTTTTTTATCAAAGAAAATTGATTTCAATCCTACTCAATATGAAATAAAGTTAATATAATCGACATTTTGATTACAACATCATTATTTACCGTTCACGTGACTATATGGCATCTGGTTTGATCACAGTCTTCGAGGCAAGATTGATGGACAGTTTTTGCAGAGGGCGGGGAGAATTTCCAAGTTTAAATTCTCAATCAAACGTAACCCCCATAGATTTGACATCTGGACACACACAGGTAAGGGATTTTTAGAGCTTATAAGAGAAAATTAAGAAATATTGCAATTCAGCAGGATTTAATTTTGTGTTCGTATGAAATGCCAAATAGCACGAAATAGAGTTCAAAGCAGCAAATCAAAAATACTATTGCTATTGCATGTGATCAAGTTTTAAATAAGTTGCTATCAAACATCTTCACACCATACATAAGAATTCTCTACTTCTATTAGCTACTGTTTGTCTCTGTGAAACTACAATAAAGCAACTATCAAATCCTGCACCACCACCCCTCCCTAATTTACAACTTTTTAAATTAAAAAATGAATGTTCGAATAATTACTTTCCAGATTAATTCGAACAACTACGAAATATTAATTTACTACTTGTCAGTTCCTGCTTAAAAGAGACTGAAGATAAAAGGTGCCATACAATTGCATAATCTTCGATACCCATTTCTGACATTATTGGTTCTAAACTTGCTCTTTGCCATATATTCTGTATAATACATTGTACTGGAAATTAACTTACATTAAAACATGAAATAAAACATCATTTACCATTTTCATGAAATTTTCTGCATTACACAAGAAAAAAATATTAATATAAATATATTCCTTGGCAAAATATGTATAAAAAAGGTATTTTTATTGTAGAATGAGTGCACCTTTTATAATCTACTGCCTTCTCCTAGCAATTAGCTCTTCAGATAGCCAGAGTAATGTGGGAACAAGGCGTGGTGACTTACAGGTCGTGACTTCTGATGTGCTGTATAGAATGGGAACGGACTTGAGACATGAAGGGATGTCGAGGATGATAATGAGACCGGAAATGACATCTGATGTCCGGTCGATACGGGAAATGATGCCTGGAATGGGCAGAAGAAGTATGATGTCCGAATCTAGAATGATGGAAAATACAATGAGACCTGGTATGTCTGGTATGGACATGAGAACGGAAATGACATCTGATATGCAATCAAGACCGGAAATGGTGTCTGGAATGGACAGAAGAAGTATGATGTCCGAATCCAGAATGATGGAAAATACAATGAGACCTGGTATGTCTGGTACGAACATGAGAACGGAAATGACATCTGATATGCAATCAAGACCGGAAATGGTGTCTGGAATGGACAGAAGAAGTATGATGTCCGAATCCAGAATGATGGAAAATACAATGAGACCTGGTATGTCTGGTACGAACATGAGAACGGAAATGACATCTGATATGCAATCAAGACCGGAAATGGTGTCTGGAATGGACAGAAGAAGTATGATGTCCGAATCCAGAATGATGGAAAATACAATGAGACCTGGTATGTCTGGTATGGACATGAGGGCGGAAATGACATCTGATATGCAATCAAGACCGGAAATGGTGTCTGGAATGGACAGAAGAAGTATGATGTCCGAATCTAGAATGATGGAAAATACAATGAGACCTGGTATGTCTGGTATGGACATGAGGGCGGAAATGACATCTGATATGCAATCAAGACCGGAAATGGTGTCTGGAATGGACAGAAGAAGTATGATGTCCGAATCCAGAATGATGGAAAATACAATGAGACCTGGTATGTCTGGTATGAACATGAGAACGGAAATGACATCTGATATGCAATCAAGACCGGAAATGGTGTCTGGAATGGACAGAAGAAGTATGATGTCCGAATCCAGAATGATGGAAAATACAATGAGACCTGGTATGTCTGGTAATGACATGAGAACGGAAATGACATCTGATATGCAATCAAGACCGGAAATGGTGTCTGGAATGGACAGAAGAAGTATGATGTCCGAATCCAGGATGATGGAAAATACAATGAGACCTGGTATGTCTGGCATGGACATGAGAACGGAAATGACATCTGACATGCAATCAAGACCGGAGATGGTGTCTGGAATAGACAGAAGAAGTATGATGTCTGAATCCAGAATGATTGAAAATACAATGAGAGCTGGTATGTCTGGTAATGACATGAGAACGGAAATGACATCTGATATGCAATCAAGACCCGAAATGATGTCTATGATGGACCGAAGAAGTATGATACCTGAATCCAATACAATGAGCTCAAGCACAAGAACAATGGACTCTGGAATGATGAGAGAGATGGGTTCGCGTACAATGCGAGGAATGATGTCGAACATGATGCAAGAAGAAATGTCAGGCCTTGGCACACCTGATAAAGTTCCTATAGGTAGACAAAATGCAGTTCTACTATGCTTGAAGCCATATTTTGAAATACTCACTCTACATACGATTTAAAGAATAATTCTGTTGCTATTTATATTACAGAAGTAATATAGAAGAAATTATATGTAAAATAGGTGAAGATAACGAGCAGTGATTGATCTAAAAAAATCTATGAATAGGGCATATCTAAAGCACAAACCGCTGGAAATTCCAGATGTGAGATCAGGTGCCTAGGCGGAGTGAGCATCCCCTGTCGACCCTTCACATTGATCAGGTGGACGGATTAATCCTTAGTCAAATTTAGTATAAAAACAAAGGCCTAACATTTGGTATGAAATAATAAGTTAAAATACGGCACAATAATAGGTTGTATTTGCTAACAAGCTTTCTGTTTGAAAGGAAATGATTTCCTTATTTATCAAAAAGAAGACTCTCGTCCTTATCTACTTTGCCTCTTTCGTATTTATTGTACTGTTCAATAACCTCATTTTCTTTCTATTTTAGAAACGCGAAATACTGGAAATGACCAGTATATTATGGAGAGAGATACTCCTATGAAATTTCATTATAGTTTTTCTCGCCAAAATGATGGCGAAATGGTGAACTTGCTAAGTGACCGCGCTCATGTGTTGGCATCAATGAGTAAAAGATCAGCAGAAATGTAAGTAAGAATTACATGGTAAGGTATGTTCGTATGCAATGAGTTTTTGAACTCCACACGTCACACGAAAGAGTATACAATAATTCTATCATGTTCATACTTAATTAGCTCACCTGAGCCAAAGGCTCAAGTGAGCTTTTCTGATCAAAATTTGTCCGTTGTCTGTCGGCGTCGGCGTCGTCGGCGTCGTTGTTGTCGTAAACTTTTCACATTTTCATCTTCTTCTCAAGAACCACTGAGCCGATTTCAACCAAACTTGCCACAAAGTATCCTTGGGTGAAGGGGATTCAGGTTTGTTCAAATGAAGGGCCATGCCCTCTTTCAAGGGGAGATAATAAAGAATTAGTGAAAAATTAATAGCATCTTTTAAAAATCTTCTTGTCAAGAACAACAGAGCCAGGGAAGATGAAACTCATGTGGAAGCATTCTCAGGTAGTGTAGATTCAAGTTTGTTCAAATCATGACCCCCGGGGGTAGGGTGGGGCCACAATGGAGGATCAAAGTTTTACATAGAAATATATAGGAAAAACCTTTAAAAATCTTCTTCTCAAGAACAGCAAAGCCATGATGAGTCATATTTATATAGAAGCATGCTCAGGTAGTAAAAATTCAAATTTGTTCAAATCATGACCCCCGGGGGTAGGGCGGGGCCACAATGGAGGATCAAAGTTTTACATAGAAATATATAGGAAAAATCTTTAAAAATCTTCTTCTCAAGAACAGCAAAGCCCTAATTGGTCATATTTATATGAAAGCATCCTCAGGTAGTGTAGATTCAAGTTTGTTCAAATCATGACACCCGGGGGTAGGGCGGGGCCACAATTGAGGATCAAAGTTTTACATAGAAATAAATAGGAAAAACCTTTAAAAATCTTCTTCTCAAGAACAGCAAAGCCATGATGAGTCATATTTATATGGAAGCATCCTCAAGTAGTGAAGATTCAAGTTTGTTCAAATCATGACCCCCGAGGGTAGGGCAGGGCCACAATGGAGGATCAAAGTTTTACATAGAAATGTATAGGAAAAATCTTTAAAAAATCTTCTTCTCAAGAACAGCAAAGCCATGATTAGTCATATTTATATGGAAGCATCCTCAGGTAGTAAAAATTCAAATTTGTTCAAATCATGACCCCCGAGGGTAGGGCGGGGCCACAATGGAGGATCAAAGTTTTACATAGAAATATATAGGAAAAATCTTTAAAAAATCTTCTTCTCAGGAACAGCAAAGCCTTGATTGGTCATATTTATGTGGAAGCATCCTCAGGTTGTAAAAATTCAAATTTGTTCAAATCATGACCCCTTGGTGTAGGGCGGGGCCACAATGGAGGATCAAAGTTTTACATAGAAATATATAGGAAAAATTTTAAAAATCTTCTTCTCAGGAACAGCAAAGCCCTGATTGATCATATTTATTTGGAAGTATCCTCAGGTTGTGTAAATTCAAGATTGTTCAAATCATGACCCCCTGGGGTAGGGCGGGGCCACAATGGAGGATCAAAGTCTTAAATAGAAATATATAGGTAAATATCTTCTGATGAAGAACTGTAAAGCCATGATTAGTCATTTTGATATGGAAGCATCCTCAGGTAGTGTAAATTCAAGTTTGTTAAAATGATGACCCCCCGGGGATAGGGATGGGCCACAATGGGGGGTCGAAAATTTTACATAGGAACATATAGGAAAATATCCTCTTCTCAAGAACTGAAAATCATGTTTAGTCATTTTGATATGGAAGCATCCTCAGATAGTGTAAATTCAAATTCGTTCAAATGATGACCCCTGGGGTAGGGTGGGGCCCAATGGGGGATTGAAAGTTTTACATAAGAACATGCAGAAAAAATATTTCTTCTCAAGAACAGAAAAGCTATGTTTAGTCATATTGAAATGGAAGCATCCTCAGGTAGTGTAGATTCAAATTTTCAAATATTGACCTCTGGGATAGGGAGGAGCCACAATGGGGGATCAAATTTTTACAAAGGATTATATGGGAAAAATTTTTCAAAATTTACTCAAGTACAACAAAGCCATTTGTTATATTGACATGGAAGCATCATCAGGTATCCCCCCCTCCCCCCCCCCCCCCCCCGTAACCTTTTCAATACTGAACTGATTTGTGCTTTTGTGCTTTTGCCTAGCCAATGTGCTCAGGTGAGCGATGTGGCCCATGGGCCTCTTGTTTGTTTTAGCTACTAATATTAAGTAACTTAAACACCACAGGATGAACGCACGGAGCGCCGAAGATGTCCGAGAAATTATAGATGATCCCTCCTATCAAGAGATGATGCGGGAAGAGTTTTCTCCATACTGCTATCAGCTGCCACGTTGTGACCCAAACCAAAAGTACCGCTCAGCCTGCGGTGCCTGTAACAACCTTAGGGCACCTCTGTATGGAAAATCCTTTACACCGTTTCGTCGAATTGTATCGTCCAAGTATGAAGATGGTAGGTCACCAATGATTGGTTTATTAATGACCTTGACTGTGTCACTTTCAAAACCTAATGGAAAAATTGGTGCTTGTTAGAAATCACGACAAAATGTTAAATTAATTTCTTGTCAATCTTTATTGTACTTAAGCAATTTTTTAAACAGGTATTGAGGCACCAAGAACCGGAAGTGTACTAGGAGGTAGCTTACCAAGTGCTCGTGACGTCAGTAACGCTATCCACCAGGAGCGTGCAACAAGTGTTAACGCCGTCATTACGCCGTTTGTCTACTCCTTTGGGCAATTTCTTGACCATGATTTCACTAGCACGCCTTTAATGGAAGGTAGTTTTATAGCTTTTGATAAAATGCGTCGCAAAAAAGATTCACATTTCACAAATTGTTTATTGTCTTTTTGTAAACAGAGAATTTTACTCAGTACATTTTCATCATTCTATCTTCTCATTATTTCTTTTCTTCAGATGAAAATGGAAATTTGATTGAGGACTGCTGCTCAAACCCTGAAAGGTAAAGATAGTTCTCTATTTACAAAGTGTCTTTCTTATGAAAACTGAGTTGAAAGGTAATGCTATAATTTTTATTCCAGGTTTGAGTGTTTCAGCATCCCCGTGTCATCCAATGACCCCTACTTTACCGACCCTACCAGAAAGTGTATTCATGTTGTGCGAGCTGACATAGCACCCCCACTGGACTGTTCATCAGGTGTGCTTTTTTGTAGATCTCCTAAGTCACTTGGGTGATCTATTGCTACCTGTTTTTGTCTGTCGTTGTAGTCCGTTAAAATTTATCTTCTTATTCTCTGGAACCACAGAACCAATCTCAACCAATTTTGGTATATAGCATCTATAGGTAAAGGGAGACAAATTTTGAATTCCATGTCCTCACCCCCACCCAACACCCCCTTGGGAATGAGAAGTGGGGACAGAACCACCAAAATTAATATAATCTTCAAGAATCTTCTTCTTTACTGGGCATCAAGCACTTAAACTGTTGGCTTGAATATAATAATATAATATGCAGTGATCTCTCTACCGAAATTGTAAAATTCATGACCCCTGGGTCTGAGATTCTGATGTTAGGGTGGGGCTCTATTGATTATATAGTGAGTGAAAAATTCTCGAGAGGGACCTGTTGACCGGTCACACCTGGCGTGAGCCCTATGTATTGATTTGGTAGACGGAATAGTCCGTAGTCCCTAGTCAAATTCAGTATAAAAAACAAAGGCCTAACAATTGTATGAAGCACTTCAGCCAAACTTCGACCCACTGATAGCTTATATTTGCTAACAAGGTCATTATAACAACCATAGAATTTACGAAATGCCGACTTAAAAAAAATGAGGTTCTTGAAAGCCCTCTAACATCATCTTATCTGTCGGTAGCTTGCCTTGTTTAAAAATTGATCACATTCGGAGCATGCTCTTGAGTATCGAATAAGTTGGGAGACGTAAACACCATATGCAGGTGATATCGGGATATTACAATATAAATAAAGAAAGTTGACAATGGAAAAGCTTAAGTCATCTCGTTTGTTATACAATTTAGTTGTTAGTTGGCCCTTATCATCTATAGACAGTAAAACTGAAATCAATGGTCCCAGAGTCAGAGTTCTAGTTTTAGGATGGGGCTCTTTAGATCATATAGGGGAAAGCATAAGTTCTTCTTATCTCCCCCTTGTATATTAAGCAGTCAAATTAAGTGCATAGATATAATGGGCAAGAGTGCTTCTTCCAAAATTGTGAAATGCATGGCCCCTCGGTCTGGATTTAGGGCGGGGCACCTTTGGTCATATAATGAAAATGAATTTATTCTTTGAAAATCTTCTTCGGTGCTCCTTGGTATATAGCAGAATACTTAGTGTATGTTATGATAAAGAGTTTTTTTTTTCTAAAATACATGTCCCCTGGGTCAGAGCTTTTGAAGTTAGGACGAGACTCCATTGATACTTATTATGACCTTTAAACTAATTCTAAAGGAAAACAAATAAAACAAAAAAAAAGTTCTAGTCATATTTTACATTAGCTTTATGCTTGAGTATGATTACAGGAATTCGCCAACAACAAAACCAGAGATCGGCCTTTATAGATGGTACCATGATATACGGATTCAATAGGGCAAAAGAAGATTCGTTACGGATTGGTGAAATGGGTAAAAATTGATAGATTGATAATTATGTAAGATATTAAGATTAACTTTGACAGAGCCCAACTTTTATTTTTATTTCATACGATGTTATAATGCATACTTATCAGGTTTTCTGAAGGTGAGTGAGGATTTCCCAAACACTAATGGAGTGCTGCCAAAGAGTGAAGAAGACAGCTGTAACATACGGGAAGAGGACAGACAATCACCGGAAATACAGCATTGCTTCGACTCAGGTATTTACAATGACACGTCTCTCTTTAAATTATCCAATGAAGAAGCCAGGCTCGAAATCTGAAACCGTTTTGATTTCATGCTTTTTTAGGGGACCATAGACAGGCAGAGAATCCTCTACTCACTGTTATACACACCGCCTTCGTCCGCCGTCATAACCTCATAGCGACCTTACTCTGGGAGAATTTCGGTGTTACAGATGACGAGCTCTTGTTCCAAGAGGCCAAACGTATGGTAATTGCTGAGTTACAGCACATAACATACAACGAGTTCCTTCCGATTGTGTTGAATAAGAGGCTGATGAAAATGTACAATCTGAAATCTAAGACAGCGCACGACCATGTGTATAACTCTTCTTCAGACCCGCGCATCATTAATGCGTTTGCCACTGCTGTATTCAGATTCGGTCATTCTTTGGTTAGGCAGGTAGTTGGATCAGACAATGGAGAATTTGTTTATCTGGATCAACTGAATAAACACTTTGACCGACCTCGAATGACCTTGACTGGAAGAGGCTATGGACATGAGTATCTGACAAACTGGAAAGCAAGAACAGGGGCATCACAGCCAGATGGTTATGTCGTAGACGCCATTCGTAATAAACTTTTTGAAGCAGAATCGTCCTCACTAGGTGGAGCTACACTAAGCTTTGACCTTCCTGCTATGAATATTCAAAGAGGAAGAGATCACGGACTGCCTGGATACAATGTGTACAGGGAGTGGTGTGGACTTCCTCGAGCTCGCCATTTTGGAACTTGGAAATTAGGACTTGTAGATCATGATGGAAGAGAAGCAGCAAAGCTCCGTTCTGTTTACAGGTACCATTGTTTTTCCTTTTTCCTTTCCTTTTTTGCAAACGTTTTATAAAAGTACTTACAATGCACTGAATCCGTTTTGTAATTCTAGGCACCCAGACGACATTGATCTTTTTGCTGGCGGTTTGTCTGAGAGACGCCTCCGCGGTGCGTTAATCGGTCCTACCTTTGCATGTATCCTGGCTTACCAGTTCCAACAACTCAAGGTCGGAGACAGATACTGGTATGAGAATCCCCACCCAATCTATGGATTTTCAACAGGTACACATTCTCTATTTTATTAGAGAAAAGCAGAAGCTGTGTCTGAGAGAATTTTGTAAAGAACTATTCTCTTTTAATATCGATTCAGAGGTACTAGTATTTTGAATTATTGGGAAATTTACAGTCATTGTTCTTTTTTTCTACAAAAAGTATATTTTGATAGAAAAGTTTAAATAGATATCTTCTAGTCTTTTAAGTTGTTTAAAATCGAAATATGATGAAAGGCGTTTGAAATATCTTGGTTAATAGAAGCATTTCATCGATTATACATGTACAATTGAACTCAGCAGTATTAATGGAGTATTGTGGCGTTACTTTTTTTCCATTCAGCAAACGATTTTGATATTTATTACATGATTGTTATTAAACAGTTATTTTCTATTATTTATAAAAATTAATATTTATTCCTTGATAACAATATTTTTGTTTTACTAATTTTCACTAATTAATTTACTAAGTTAAAGTAATTTTTTACAGAACAATTGAAAGAGTTGAAAAAAGTAACTCTTGCTAAGGTTATATGTTCCACAGCGGAGGAAGATCATATTATGGACATCCAACCAAATATTATGATCCGCAGCAGCAAGAAGTAAGTTTTATGATTCGGACATACCTGTCAAATACCTGTTTACCTTGTTTCTTTATAATTATATACATTGTTTAGTAGATGACCAGGGCTCATATACATGTAAATCATTGTCTACACAATAAGATTTTCTCTTTAGATAACTAAATAAATTATACTACATTATATATTATACTACATTACATAAAAAAATCATAATTTTCAAAATCTTTCTTTAAAAAGAAATTCCCGGATGACCTGTAATCAAGTGTTAGGAGGGGGTCACGAGTTGGGGTATCATATTGACGTGTTTGGAACCAACTTTCCCGGTCATAGGAAACCGCCAATGAGAAATATGCAGAGATCTGTGCGCAGATTGAGGCGGATCTATCCATATAACCCGACACTGCAACATCTCTTTAGAAACAGACTCCACATTAAAAACATTGCCAGAAAGGTTGTTATTCCCACAAGGAGGAAACATAGAAGGCGTATTGTAGTCAGCAGACGGAGACCCCTCCGGTTTAGTCCTGTACTAACACGACGACGCCTACCTAGAAGGATTGTATTGGGTTGAAATTTAGTATTTTATTATTTACCAAGGTTGTGCGATGATTTCAACACGATTTGTCAGTTTTTACAGGGACTTTTTAGACGTTCTGACGAATGCCATTTACATTATACCTATACTGCTTAAGCTTTCTTACTGTTATGCATTGCTTTATTATGCTAATGTAAGTAGCTATTCCATACGTAGTCATCCACCTTGTGAAGTGATAATATAACTACACTTTTAAACGATTAAGGGATTTGACATCTCAGTGAATCTACATTTGGATTAAAGAAATCATTATATGAAGCTGATACTACAACTTTTTCAATTTGTTGCAATCCGATAATCGCTTGTTTAATCTTAACACTTTAAACATCTGCTATATGACAGCCATTTTGTCAGCAATATGTATATTAGTAAATTTATCGTTTATAAATTTTGAAACTGTCGTCCAATGAAAATCGTTATGACAACATGGCCGATTACAGCAGAGGTACAGAGTGTGTTATATGTTACGTATATTTACTAATATAACAGTAATGTACGTAAAAACTAGGAGTGTCAAAATATTTATTTTCCTTAGTCGATTATTCGATTGCATTATTCGAACGATAGTCGAATATTCGGAACATTTTCTGAAAATAAATTTTATTTCAAACTTTATTGGTACATACTCAGAAACCTTTTTACTTAAATCTATTTAAAAAGTAACATCAAAATTAATGCAACGTAACGCGTGGATAGCATGATTATATGGAATTAATTTAGAAACCTAATTCTCCAAAATTTATTATTTCCCCGTAAATAGAATTCATAAATCGGCCTGTACATGCCGTCATTTTTTATTTAGTAAGCATTAAAAAATTGCCAGCCGATATCTTTTAAAGCTTATTATGAAATAAAATGCAGGGGCCGGGGGGGGGGGGGGGGCTTTCATGTCCTGAAACGGTTTAAAATGTAAGCGCATTGTTTTAATAATTATCGATATATCAAAACAGGTTTATTCCTTGCATTTGAGCAATTTTAAAATAACAAAAGATAATTGGTACATAGTATAAGATCAAGTCCAATTAATAATTTTACAAACAAAGCCCATTATATTGGTTGGTAATTTATTACAAAAACAACACAGGCAGTTACTGACAATTAATTCTCGCATAGTGAAGCATTTATAATTGCTGTACTTTCTATACGAACATGGAAAATCTACCGTTTTTTGTTGAGGAAAATTATCGACTGTCTATGAGAAAAAAAAAACTCTTTCTCATTTTTGTAATGAGAATTCCATCTCATCTATCACTCATTTATTGCATTTATTTAGTTAAAATAATATTCGAATGTCGTTTCATTATTCGATCGTCGGTCCATTCGACTGATAGTCGAATAGTCGACTATTCGTTGACATCCCTAGTAAAAACATTTGAAAATGCTTTAAAAATCCATTATTTTCTTGTTTTTATTTTAAATTTATTTGGTCTTGTTTGTAATCTAATTGCTGTTTTAATTTCATTTGTAACATATTGAATAAAATATTTTTTATGTAACAGTTTTAGTTGAGGTTGTTGTCTAACCATTAAAAGCATTAATTACCAGATCGAGATGCAAGCGACTATAAGAAAGACGATAAATAAAAACAAGTAATTGTTTTACAAAAAGAAACTCTCCCACCCACAAAGAAATTTATAAGAGTACGTCGGAATGTCGACTTTTACTATTGGCCTACATGTAGCTGTTTGATAGGGCCATTTAAAAAAAGAAATGTTTGTTTGCCCTCTACCGACCGACCCGGGTCAATTTTTTTAACCTCTGTTAAACGATAATTTTTTCCTTTATATTATTGAATTTTCTCATCCCTTCAATATGTTGTGTTGGATTTTCTAGAAAAAAATTTTCCCGCCTACCTACCGACCCATATTTTTTACCCTGAGTCTGGCGAGGGCAAACATTATTTCAAAGATGGCCTCATCATTTCTTTTATCCATGGAATTTCATGTTGGTGGACCTTCTGGAATACAGCACACCTATACTTCGATTTTACCTTATGGCCTTACAGTGCCTCTACGGTATAGGTAGTACCTACCCGGTATACCCTTTCCCCCTCTTCCTATTTGTTCTGAAAAACACTTGATGCAGTTCCAGAAGAATTCTCTACACGGTTATAGTAGGATCAATTTCTGAGATAGAGTAACCTCGCTTTGACAGGTGCATCGAGAAACCGTCGAACGTTGCATTCAGAATATCTGGGTCATTAGTTTTCCTGCATGTCTAATGTATTCTCCTTAAAATAATTCCATTAAAAACATTTCATGCATCTAGTTGGAGATTGTGTGGTAGTCAAAATTGAAAGTCAGATTATATAGTTGTTTATAATTTTTAATCATAAAAATTTGGTAATCTACGTAGAAGGGTACGTATCGAAGGAAACAAATAAAATACGTTTTTATACATATTTTTTGCTAATATCCATAGTAACGCTGTGTTTTAAAGAACTTAATTTCATTATTTTGAAATGTGAAAAAATAGGACCATGCCGATGCCTTTAAACATTGATCACAAGTTATATAAATATGTGTGTGTGGGTGTGTGTGTGTGTGTGTGTGTGTGTGTTTAGAAAGATAGGATCAGATTAAAACATACAAAGAATAAATCTGAAATCCCTTTGCGATATTAAAACCACGGCAACCATTGCCAAACAATAAGAAATAACACATTACGTCTTTGGTATGTGTTTCAAGGGTCTTTCTCTATTATTTGATTTGTTCGTTATCTCAATATTTTATTAAGATTTAACATATAATTGCTTTAATTTTTAAGTGTCTGACTTAATAAAAATGAATGAATGAAATATGGAGATAACGAACCGTAATCAATCTAAAGTTCCATTGAAACAATACAAATCGGGAGCAAAGCAAACAGGGACCTCTAAAATACATCAGGGGTGGAATCAGGTGCTATGGAGGAGTAATCATCTCCCGCCGTGTGCTCATTGTCATGATGCAAACCAAAAAAAATCTCTAGGCAATTCAGTGTGTAAATAATGGCATAACAGTTAGTATGAAAAACGTCAGTCAGCATTCGACTAAATGATAAATTGTATTTGCTGACAAGGTCAATGTATCAACCATAGAACTTGGGAAATGATTACTTTTAACGAGACTGTTCTTATTCTTGTTTCTTCAACTTCAGTAGCTTGACTCGATTTAGAAACTGTTCGTACGTGGAGCATAAGCTTGCGTATCGAATCAACTGGGAGATATAAATCCCATATGCAGATGAAAAGGGTGTATTGCTACATAAATAGGGAAGTTGATAATAGAAACGTTGAAGTCATTAAATTTTGTTGATAGGTGAACATTGACGTCTTTTTCTAGTAAAATATCCAAATGTGAAACAGATGTGTCAGACTCTGTGGTATCTTTTATCTCAAGTTCACTGGGATATATCGAATCGATATATGGATGGTAGTAACTATTGTTATTGATAAGACGTCGTCGAGTTGAAGGCCAAAAAAATATTACTCTTGATTACCTTGCTTCCATAGGAATATGTGTTATAGTTGATTTCCCAAAATTATTACTTTTGATTTCTTTGTTTTCATAGTAACTTGTGCTATAGTGATTTCCCAAAATATGCATTTAAGACAACAGGCCTCCAACTTTTGGAAACATCATTTCCACTTGTTTGCATTGCCGCAAACGTTAACTATGGATCTCTGAACATGTTGAAAAAAATGCAATTTTTCAAAGTTTAAGGCATTTTGAAATGGTAAAGAATATTTGCCTGATTGAGTTTCAGGTATAGAGTTTGGAGAATTCTGAGACTATGCTGCCGTAGCTTCTATTTAAAAGTTAAAGTCATTACAGACAATGTCTCTTAATATCAACTTTGTTAATGTTTTGTTTATGACCTTTGTAGAAAGTTCACAGAAAAATGACGATATTTCAAGTATAAATCTGAGATGCTTGTGACAGTGATTGCCAATGTTCAAGAATTCCTCTATTATGTTTGGTTCCAATAGATGTAATAAAACTACTCCATGGTATCTATCATAAAAGAAAATTTGTAAATTCTTAAAGTATACACAAACAAGTGGGGAACAAAAAGGCAAATTTTATATACCATTGTGACCTTGAACTTTGACCTCCTGTCTGTATTTACCTATTTATGTGATGCTAGTTATTATCCACCAGAATTGTAATTTGTTTCTTCAAATTATGTTGTTTAAAACACAAGTATTAGTTATGACACAGAAAATAAATGTGCTTAGTTTCCTTAAATTTCCATATAAATCAAGCCGTTTTGACCTTGACCTTTGACCTTTTGTCGTGAAAATTGATTTTTCTCTTTGTTTTTGCTATTGTGTACCATATATCTAAATTTGGTTTTAATCCATTATAAAATACTCAGGTATTTATATGGAAACTGATTGTAGATACCCATTGCCTTTGTCTGGAATTCTTTAAAAAAGCATAAGTTTGTAACCATGGTAACATGAAAACGAAATATGAATACCAAGTGTGTCTTTGCAGATTCTAATAGAACTATATATGTACTTTCAAATCAATATATTTATTTTTTCCCAAATGTCCGCAAAATTTTATATCAGGCTTTTCAAAAGAGCCTAAAATCTACAATTTTCCCCAGAAAAATCCTACTTAAAAACGGGGGATATTTTTTTCTATGAGGTAAAGTTATTCAAATACTAGAAATAATCAAAAGAACTATTAAAATGATGTATTTTGGCAAAAAGATAAAGTCATGTAAATATCTTGTTCTGTTAAAGACTTTTAATTAGTCAAAAAGGATCATTTTTTTTATCAAAATTTAGCGTTTTTTAGGCCATGAAAAATGTATGTTGGTTGCCATGGTAACCATTGACCATAGCAACCATTTTATTATGAATTTTAGTTTCATACACTAATATAGGAATGTGTGCCAAGTTTCATAAAAATCCAAGACCTAGCGTGCCACACTCCCTATATAAGAGTTTAAATGCTTACAGAGAATGGCTATTAACTTCTTATGCAATCTGATATTGAGATTTTAGTATTTTTCAGATTGACCACAATTTTTGGTCATAAGAAAAATAAAATTAGTCTGTGAAGTGCTTTCTATCAAAACAAGCAAGTTAAAAGAATTGTAATCCCCTACATTCGGTGTCCTAAGTGGTTGGGATGTAATTATTTATTGAATAATGGTACTGTCTCGTTTGTGTGTCCTTCAAACTTGTAGGCTAAGGTCATGAGGTCGAAAATGGTCTGAAAAGTGTTGTCATAGGTAATGTACACGTAAAATGTATTTTCTCTCATTTAAATTTATTACATGTACCAATGTAAAAAAAAAAATAAAAAGATTGTAGTTTAAAGTTTAAGGTCAAGGTTACGAGGTCAAAAAACAGAGTACATTCGGAAAAGACTTGAAACAGGTAATGCACATGTCAAATATAAATGTCATATCTTCTCTCATTCTAAAGTTATCAGCAATGTTAAATTTTTCGACAATTAGGTCAAACCTGAAGATCAAAGTCATGGGGTTAAAAATCATAATATATTTGGAAACGTCTTGTTACAAGG